CATTTCTCAACCAAAAACCCAATAAACAAACCAGCCATGAATAACAGAAGACTCTTGATAGCAGCTGTATTTCATTTTGTACATCCAGTGGAGAAAGACAAAAAAAACATCACAAGTTGACACAAAACTCTGCCAGCTTCAGCTGTCAAAAATAAACAAGTTTCAAGATGCTGCATGAATTTGCCGCATGAACTCACCTGTCAGATTTTGACCAATCAGAGCATAAAAATTGGACGTAGAGCGTGACCAACGCGTGTTCATGATAACAAAAGGTCTTCTCCGCCTGTGTTTTTAAATAATTTTACTGAATTTTCGTGTCCGAAGTAAGTTTGAAATCAAAATCTTAATAGTGCCGGGCCATAGTGACATAAACAGACATATTTCATATAAATTTAAAAAAAAACAAAATTGAGCTTGCGATCATTTGAAAACTAGTAACTTGTCAGGGGATACCTTCAAAAAATACTCGACCTCGATGGGTCGACACCTGAGCCCGCGATACGGTCAGGTGATACTGGTCAGCGGATACCCTGTTTTGACAGCTGTCAATTGATCACAACATTGATGTGCAATCACTTTTCTCCTGGGCTCCCAAACTAGCTAGAAAGTGTGACAGTAAACATTGGTATGCCTGTGGTGCGGACGGACGGTCGTTCGTTCGTTCGTTCGGTGTACGGTCACGTGAAAACCAAATTTTCTGGGATGGGTACATTTACTTAGCTATGGGGCTCCGCCCACGTGCGCGAGCTCCGCTAAAACAATGAATAAGTAAAAAAAAAAGGAAAAAAATATAAAATTAATTCAATTTCTTTTCGTGGTCTACTTGGGATTATAATGCGAACAGTTCAATTCTGCTCGCTTGTCAGTATTTGAACGCCTGTAGTTGGTTAAAGAAAAGAAGGCAGATTAAATGCTATTAATTATTTTACAAATTAAAACTACCAACTGTCTACTCAATAAACAGTGAAATATAACGTCACTTCGACAGCCAACGTTAAAACAAGATAGTTTTTTCGGTCACCGGCGTATTGCTAAGATAACAAGACTAGCTATCCAATAACTGATTGCAGGCGTAAAAGTTGTTTCCCAGTTGAGAGCATAATGGCATTCACCTGCAGAACCATGTGACAGTAATTTACTTCGTATAAATATCTTTATTACAAGATATAACGTACCGGGAATCAGCTCAGTGTGATGCTGCGCTTGCTCGTGGTATCAGTTTCCGGGGTACCAATCTCCTCTTTGCTCCCGATGCCCGTACCCAACTGGTTTACGTGCGTGATCTTTCGTGCGAGGTTCCAGATGAACCAGTCAAAGTCTTCCTTTGTGGTTATGGCGTCGTCCATTCGTTGAATCCTAAGGCCTACCCTTATATTTCCGATGTGCTCAACGGTACTCGTGTGGCCAAGGACCTGTCGTCTTCAGTCCGCATCGCCGGTTATGATGTTCGTTTGTGGTATCAAGGCCAGCCTCACGTCTTCCCGGTGTGCTGCTGGCCTGGTCATTGTATTTAAGACTATCCTTTTAGTGGTGTCTGACGTCGTTGCCGTCAGCCTGGGCATATGGCGGGCGAGCGTGCCTCCCTTCAACCGTCTGCTGCTGCCCCTGCCTCTAATTTCGTTCCCCCTGTTCCTTCATGCTACTGATTCTGTTTCTGTTTCCGGCGCCGATCCTTCAATGTCTGCCGATGAAGAAGAGAACCAGATTTCTTTTATCTTTCCGCCTATGAGTCTGTTTCCTGTTCTGGTGACAGTGCTTAGTCTTGTTCCCACTTCTGTCTTGGTTTCCAGTTCCAGGAGGCGTGCTGCTTCGGCTTCGGCTGCCGTCCGTCTTCTCGTGTGGCTCTCGAGTCTTCTGCTGAGTCCCCCGTCGATCTCCAGGACAAAGAGCTTGATGAGCTGCAGAGTCATTCTGATTCTCCTTCTCCCTCGCGTTCCTGCTGCTGCAAAGCCCGATTTTGCATCTGCAAAGTCTTTTGTTACAAAGTCCGTTGTTTCCTGCTTCTGAAAAGCCCGTTCCTGTTACTGCAAAGTCTTCTGACTGCCTGTCTACCAACTGGGGGGTTTCCCGCCGTTCTGGTTTTGGTTATGTTGTATTCGAATGTCCTAATTCTCAAGTCGTCTGGGACTTTGGTTCTCTCTCCCGCTCCATTGAAGAAGTGGATTCGATCTGCTTTGAGTATACGATCGTTTCGTGAAATATGTTCGTCGTCAGGTTCCGACGAAGAAAGCATCTTTTATGCGGTGTGAGTTTACTGTTTTTGAAAATGCTGCTGACCCCCTGCCTTCTGGTCGGCCTGCTAAGTTCCCTGGACAGTAATTTGTTTCGTTCCTCGATTGATCCGTTGTTGATGCATTCGACCTCCTCCTGCTGTGTTAATGTTTTTGCTGCCTCGTATTTTGTTTAATGTTTACTGGTGGGCGAGGTTCGACACGTTGGCGAGTTGGGTGGACGGATTCCCCCTCCTTACCCGTCCGTTGTTTGTGATGTGTCTTGTGGCTTTTGCTATAGTGTTTTGTTTGGCGCCATTGCACTTATCCCACTGGGGGCTGGCTACTCATCTTAAATCAGGCGCAAAAAAGCAAGTTTCTTATCATATCAGCAGAACGATGGGCGATTGCTACACCTCGCGAGCAGAAACTACATTAAGTGTTATTGTCAGAAAAAACCGGGCAATAGCAAAAGATCGAGGTCGGCCGTTTACCTTCATGTTTTCACAGTATGAAAGCTATCTGAAAAGATTAACAACCATGGCATTTGGAGAAGTATCCGTTCGATTTTCTTCGAGATATCACTATTTCGAGATTTTGGGACCTCCGGCGACCTAAAAAAGCACAAATTTTGGCTAACTTTGGGTGAAGTTAAAACATACTTGGCCAAACTCCCAATAGTTCTTATATTTTTTCCATAACACCTATCACTTCGTTAGTCGACTGGAATATGTTAAACTTCCTTTGCTTAAATACTCTATTTTTTACCTGGTGCTAAAAATCGCTCCTGAATCGTTAATGAGCGTCACCCAAATTTCAGTCATTTTCAGTTGACTGTTTTACCGAGATGCGGCAGTTTATTTCAAAAGTAAAAACACTTCTAGATGACTTATTGTGCTGTTATCAAACTCCAGTTTGTTTAAAATTGGTATTTGGCAGCAAATTGGAGAAAATGGCATGCGAAAGTACAATATTTCCCGCCAAATTTTATAGCGCCACGTTTCGTTTTACTGTGATTGTGGTTCGTAAATGTCTTAAAATAGATTTTTACGACTTCAGAAGAGATAATTGAAAACTTTTATATCCCTAATTACAAGGAAAAACATTATAAATCACCGTATTGATAATAATAACACTTAAATGATTTTCGCAGTGTGAGTAAAGGTAGAGCGCCCGCTTAGCATGCGGGAGGTACTGGGATCGATACTCATGCAGATTATCCATTTTTTTTAAATGAATGTGAATGCAGCAATGTGTATAAGGAAGAAAAATTTCTTTTAATCATTTTCAAATAAAGAATACAATAAATAAATAAAATACAATGAGCTCAAACTTTATTTCAATGAGAAAAAAAACTGTTTTCGTTAATTGCTAATTCATATCGAACTGTCATCTCTTGCATTTTAGCCACTAAAACAGCGGACTTATTTGCTTTTAATTAGCAACCCATTTTTTTCAAAAATTAAACCCAAGCCATGCAACCTTACATCTTAGGCCTTGTGGCTTCTCGTTTATTCTTTTTTTAAGTTCAGGCTATTCTTTATAAAATACGACGTTTTAACAACCCGCTAACCGTTAACACGGTATTGTCAAAAACTGCCCAAAATAAGTTAGTGTTTACGCACAAAAAGAAATTGTTGTCAATTTGGAGGATCCGGAGATCGATCTCGGTACCTCCCGCATGCTAATCGGGCGCTCTACCATTTTAGCTAATCACCGCCTGCCTCAAGGTACAAGCTCTTGGGCAAGATTTAACATCACGACAACCACAAAGCAATGTTTATGCAGTATGATTTAATGAAACAAAGCATTCAAATTGCTCTGTAGAATAAAGGATACAAGTTGCAAAAAATAAAATGAAATAAAAAAAAATTAATGGTCAAAATATTTTATCGAATAACATAACAAATTTAAAATAATGTTAATTTTTCCAAGCCTAGAAGCTTTAAGCGCTGCAGATCCATTTGTTAATAAAGGAGGTGCATCTCGAAATTTAAGTTGTCCGTTTGAGTGAAACATAAAAATAACTGCTCAAAACGTTAAAAGAAGGACGCGTAAAAATGGCACATGAAATAGGACAAACGTTAAAATGTTGAAACGGATTGCAATGGTGGTTTTTTAAACCTTGTACTGTTAGCCAAACAGTTTGTTCAAGTTCATGGTATATAATTGCTCATAACGTTTGATGTTACACAAATGCATGCTTGGGAGACATATTTGTTTATTGAGACGAGGTTGTGATTTTGTCATTCACAAGTAGTTGTAGTCAAGTAATCAAGTTCCATAGCGAGTAAGTATGCGCAACTTGAAATACGATCCCTTACGTTCTGCCTTTTTTGTAACTGAATAAAAAAATATCTTTTTTGGCCAAAGATCAAATGATAAATGCGATAGAAGGCTAAATTATATAATGCCATACTGACCACCAGAGCAAACCAGCTTTTTAAAGCTAAAAAGTTAAAAACTACCTCGAGTGTGTTGAAAACAGACAATTACATGGGGAGATACAAAGTTTCTCTAAAGAGGACGACAGCGAAAAGAAGAAAAAGGGCCTGTCCGGGAGTCGAACCCGGGACCTCTCGCACCCAAAGCGAGAATCATCAGGCCATTCTATCTCGTCATCACTGCCCCAGGGATCCCATGAGATAGGCAGACGCATGCGCATAATCAGTGCTTTTCGCGCGCTTACTCGGTATTCTCACGAGGTTTCGATACGCGAAAGAAAATTATTTCTTTTGTCATCTTTATGCAAATTTGAACCTATTTCTTGCGTTGAATCACTAACACGACATGGATGGAGCGGATCTGGCGTCCGATACAAGGAGCAAAGGCGTAGAAGATTCTCAGGACACGAACATGTCAGTCCTCGAAGGATTAACTTCGACCTGGGCACAACTTGCCAGGGCTTCGGAGACGCAAACGGCAATGCTGGCTAGTCTCAAGGAAGACCTTCTCCTTCGTACTGACTCAGACGAGGATGGACAGGCCGCTCAGAGCTTAAATGATAGCGTTGATCTCAACGCCGCCTTAACTGATGTGCTCGACCCGAGCGACACGCATACAAGTACGACCGCGGCGGCGAAACCTGCATCATGCCCTGACTCAGGGTCGCAGGATGACATTTTGGAAAGCCTGACTCAGGCATTTGTGCAAGCCAAAGAGAAATCTCCTGCGATAGCAGAAAAAATTGCTGGTTTAATTGACAACATGGTTACTGGAGGTCTCTCACCAAACACAATCAAAGAACGAGTTGAAAAATATCCTCCTCCAGAAAATTGTAAATTCCTGTCCACCACCACCGTCAACGAAGAAATTTAGGATTTGCTGCCTCGACGCAGCAGAACGGTTGACCTAGCTTTCCAGCGAGTTCAAGAACCGCTTGTTCAGGGTTTGCCAGCCCTGTCTATTTTAGGAGACCAGTTGGTAAAGGACCTTCACGCTGGCAAAACATTAAATACACGTCAGATCTTGGATCACGTGATGGATAGCATTGCTCTTCTAGCTAATGCCAATTTTAAACTCAATATGGCACGGCGAGAGTTGATAAAACCGGAACTTAAAGGGGCTATGTCAGCTGGAGAGCACGCGCTCTGAGGTTATGCAAATTACTTTCAACTGTCAAAATTCTATTGTTTTTAACGCGTGACTTTCTCCATGTGCGCTGTGAGGTTATGCAAATTACTTTCAACTGTCAAAATTCTATTGTTTTTAACGCGTGACTTTCTTCATGTTCTCTGTCACGTCCAAGGTTCCGAATTTAGAGAGGTTTAGCGAAATGGGTTTAGATAAGGGATATTTCGATAGAATTTATGGAACGTTTCTTCTCTGGTTATGCTAGATCAAGAATAAAATTGCGACGACAATTTTACTTGTAGTTTTGAAGTAAAAACGCATGCCATTCATAAAATAGAGCGCAAACAAAAATTCAACAACAACATATTGTCTTATTCAACAAAATAAATGGAAGTTGTATTTTACAAACGAGCTACAAAAGACGCTAGACCGAAGATAAAGACCAAGACTGTTTCAAATAATTAACAATTAGACTTGTCTGTCGCTATTGATTTTATAATTTAGATGCTGATAGAACAAGAGACCAAGTCTTTGTTTTGCTCTTAGGGAAACATACATTATCGCGCAAAATTGTTCGATCGTGCCGAATCACTGCGACGTCGAGAAAAACAGAACCCAGCATCATTGGTATACTACTCCACTATAAGCAGTCCGTTGATAAAAAGGGAAAGCAAACTCTGCTATTTTCCAAAATTATGCTCCAACACAAACAGTTCAAAAACATGGCATTTACAGGATCTAACTCGTACTAAGGCGCCTCTCTAAGTCTGTTGAGAACAATCTGGACGAGCAAACGGTCGTGTTTATCTTTGCCGTGAATCGAGATAAATACAAGAAGGAATCTAGCCGAATTTTAGAATGTTTCCTTCGCCAGGAGTTTAGTTTCGTCACGAAACTCATGGCCTGATGCTCTTGTAATCGTTTACAAAAAACGGCCGCCGCCAACTCGATAGCCGCTTCATTATATGTCCACATACTTTGAGCACAAGAAAAATCCAAGAGCCAGCAGCCTCTAAAATAACTCAATAGAAAGGTCCTGTGAACTATAGGGAAGATTCCATCAAAGATTCCATCACTCATTGTGGAGTAGCCGTCATTAACTCTGCCATTACAACGGCCGCTGATAAGAGGACACAGTAAATCCACGTAAAAACATTCCACAGGCAAACAATTTTAAAATAACGCCAAAAAATTGTTCTGTAATCACCATAGAATGATTCTTAATACAAAACTTCGCTAACTATCGAACGATGGCTGAGATTTAAACAGATAAAAACAGCCTTCCAAAATCTCCGACACAACTTGAAAAAGTTGGGCTGTCTTTTTCAAGTTTGTTTTCATTGGCTCGCGCATGCGTGTTGGGTGACATAGCCCCTTTAACCCTCCATACACCAGGCTGTGTAAAGATGAAATTAAACCTTCAACAAAATTGTTTGGAGATGATTTATCCAAACATTTGGAGGATATGGCTGAGGCAAAGAAAGTTGGCCGACAAATGCAGAAAACTTCTGAAACTCGAACGGCTAGTCTAGGCTATTTCAAGGCAGGACGGCAGAAATTTCGCCGTCCAAACTTTAAACCTTATGACAGACCATCCTGTCAGAAAACGTCTCAGCAGCGTCCTTTCTTAGGCTACAGCCGGGCACAGAAGAGTGCCCAGAAAAAGCCAAGTGAACCCACCAACAAAACCCAGTAGAAACACAGGTAAGAGAAAACTACCCAACTCCTATCGATAAAGCAAATCTGTCTCAAAGGGTTGCTAATTTCTCGGCTGGAGGGTTACAAGACCATGTTGAAGGTTGGAAGTCACTGACTACTGACCCTGTCATATTAGATGCTATAAAGCACTATCACATCGAGTTTGGGGATGTTTCTCCTTCTCAGGTTTACCAGCCAAAACAAATGCCATTTTCTCCTTCTGAAAGGGAGATCATTACTGAGGAAATCACCAAGCTCCTCGATAAAGGAGTTATTGAAAAATAGACCGTGTCCAGGGTGACTTTATCTCTACCATTTTTGTGCGTCCCAAGAAAGATGGCACTTTTAGAATGATTTTAAATCTTAAAAAACTCAACGAATTTGTATCCTATCACCATTTTAAAATGGATACGATTCAGACAGCCCTCAAACTCAAGCGTCCCGGATGCTTTATGGCATCGGTAGACCTTAAGGACGCCTATTATTCTGTTCCTATTGCATTAGAGGATAGGAAATACTTGAAATTTGAGTGGCAAGGTAGCTATTTTCAATATACCTGTTTGCCCAATGGCCTGGCTTGTGCTCCTCGCCTATTCACAAAAATATTAAAACCAGTCTCATCTCAGATCTTTGGGTAATATCTGTATGGGGCATATAGATGATTCATTTCTCTTGGGATATAATTATACTGCCTGTGCCACTAATATACAGGACACTGTTGATACGTTCCTTAGTCTGGGGTTTGTGGTTCACCCAGAAAAGTCAGTCCTGATTCCAACACAAGAAATGGAATTTCTTGGCTTCTTGCTGAATAGTATAAACATGACAATCCGACTCCTACCCGTTAAAGCGGAACGTGTACGGCTAGCTTGCCAGAGTTTACTGGACAAAAGTAAAATGACTATTAGAGAAGTGGCACAAGTTATAGGGTTGATGGTTTCTAGTTTCCCTGCCGTTCAGTTTGGGAACTATACTATAGGGCCCTAGAAAGGAATAAAATTCTTGCTCTGCAGGAAAGTAGGGGCAATTGTGATGCAACAATATATTTTTCAAATGATTCTAGATCAGAGATAGCTTGGTGGTTGAACAATGTAGATTCTTCCTTTAAACCTATTTTCCAGGGAGACCCTGACCTGACTCTTACAACAGATGCCTGTACTAGCGGTTGGGGTGCAGTAAATGGTGCTCACAAACCTGGTGGTCTTTGGAATGTAGAGGAACAAGCTTTCCATATTAACTACTTGGAACTGAAAGCAGTTCTGCTGGGGTTGAAATCACTTCTTGGCCATGTCCATGGCAAACACATAAGAATTCAGTCTGACAATACAACCACAGTGGCATATGTTAATAACATGGGGGGTATCAAGTCTGCAGAGTGTGACAGTTTGTCTAGGAAATTTGGCTGTGGTGTATAGAAAGAGACATCTGGATCAGTGCTTGCCACATACCCGGCTCTACCAATGTAGATGCTGACACTGAATCTAGGAAAATTAACAATTCAACTGAATGGTCTTTAAACATGGACGTCTTTTCAGACTTGGATAAACTGTGGGGCCCTTTTCAAATCGACCTGTTTGCATGCAGACTTAATTTTAAAGTTCCCAGTTATGTGTCATGGAAACCTGACCCTGGTGCTCAATATGTCAATGCATTTTTCATGAGTTGGAAGGAGTACTATTTCTATGCTTTCCCCCCTTTTAGTGTTATAGCAGCCTGCCTACAGAAAATAGGGCAAGATCAAGCAACTGATGTCCTTCTCGTTCCTGTTTGGCAGACACAACCTTGGTTCACCCCTCTCCTTCACCTATTAGTAGACAATCCCCCAGTCGACTCATCGGTTGACACAACCACACAACCATGCCTTACATCCTCTTCGACGACAGTTGAGACTGATGGCTTGCATGGTATCCGGGAAAGTCTCCAGCAGAGAAATGTTTCAGGCAAGGCTACAGCAATCATCCTCAAGTCCTGGTCTGACGGAACACAAAAACAGTACAAACCATACATCAAACAGTGGATGGACTTTTGTAGTGAATGGAAGACTGATCCCTATGATCCACCTGTAACCGTTGTTTTAGAATTCCTCGTTAGCCTCCATGAAAAGGGATTGACTTACACCACCATCAATACTGCCAGGAGTGCCGTATCAGCAGTTACTATACCCAAGAGTAACATGACTGTGGGCAGTCACCCACTTGTTCCCAGGTTTATGAATGGTGTTTACAAGGATTCTCCGCCAACTCCACGCCACCGGTCAACATGGGATGTAAAGCCTGTCCTAACTTATCTTTCCTCCCTTCACCCTCCAGAGAAGCTTGATTTAAAATCACTCACTCTAAAGCTGGTTATGCTGATAGCCCTGGTCTCTGCACAAAGGGGACAATGTTTTTAAATTTGCTTGACCTTGGTTGCATGAAAAAAGTGACTAATGGATTTGAATTCTTGTTCATGGAACATGTCAAACAAAGCAGGCCTGGTTACCGAGCTCCATCTGTTCTCCTGCAAGCTTATCCTGCTGATTTGTCACTCTGTGTGTCTACTTGCTTGGCAGAATATCTTGAGCGAACCAAGCCCCTAAGGGGAGCGGAAAGTAAACTTTTTTATTAGCTTCATCAAACCTTACAAACCTGTTTCCAGGGAAACTATTTCTAGATGGATTCGTTTGATAATGGAGTCGTCTGGTGTTGACACCAGTGCATTCAAACCACACAGTACAAGAGCTGCAGCTACGTCGAAAGCCAAAGCTTCAAATGTCCCCATTGATGAAATCCTGCGTACAGCTGGATGGTCGTCCTCGAGGTGTTTTAAGCGTTTCTACAATAAGCCAGTCGTTACCTCCACTTTTGCTTCTGCAGTGCTTCAGACTGATTAGAACAAGGACTAGGGCCTTTGCTTCTCTGCCCTGTTGCTACTGTTTAGTGATTCCCTATAACGTTGATTAGTTCCTACAACTTAGAGGTTTTTTCAGGGTTATTGTGCTTTAGCCCTGTTGTTTCTATTACTCAGTGTGTTCATATAGCATTATTTGTAAGCGTTTTTTGTTCTTTATTTTTATGGGCTACAGTTTGTGTTACTGTTAGTACTGTATAGGGTTGTTTATGCATTAAACACCTTGCAGTTGGACTTTGGGTTTTTTCTTCATGTGACTGTCTTGGCTTTAAAGTCTCATGGGATCCCTGGGGCAGTGATGACGAGATAGAATTGAAAAATTAAACGAGACTTACCTGTAAGTTGAAGTTTTATTGGAATTCTATCGAGTCATCAAACTGCACCAAGGGATCACATGCCCACCCTTTGTACAACCAGTCATGGTTGATTTTGTCGTACCCACCCTTTGTCCTACCGAGGTTTTACTTCGGTTGGCTTTCTGATATTACCCCCTTTTATGGGTGTTTGTTTGTAAGACACTCACATTCAGCTGTGAATACTGATTATGCGCATATCTCATGTGATCCCTTGGTGCAGTTTGATGACTCGATAGAATTCCAATCAAACTTCAACTTACAGGTAAGTCTCGTTTAATTTCTCAATTTTTGATTAGTACGTGTACTCTCTGGCTTAAAAAATCTGAGGGGTAATTTATAATTTCTGAATCTCCTGTTGAGACTCAACTTCATAAATTAGTATTCAGTTTCTTGACCATCATCGTGTTCTATGACCTGAGAACACTTTTTCTGTAGAATAATTAAATTAAACACGATTTGGTATTTTTATGAAAACGATAACAATGTAAATGATTTTCGATAGTTCAGCGGGATAGTTCAGTTGATTATTAGTTCTCCTCTTTAAAGCCGGAAAGCGTAAGATTTACTCTTGGTTTCATGTTAAGTGTGGTGCAAGAAACATTCATGATTAGCTTATTTTTCGCCTCGATTTTCTAGGAAGGGGGGATTAGCTCAAATGGTAGAGCCTTCGTTTTGCATGCGAGAGGTACTGGGATCGATACCGAAATTCTGCATTCTTTTTCCGCTGTAAAAAAGAAAGCTCATTTTTTCTTGCAACTTGGAAAAAGGGCACTTACTGCTTCTTTTGGACATGGACGCATGAGATGTAGCCACTGACGTTTGCAATTAGATAGCGCTTAAAAGTGGGTGGTGGTTCCATGGCTTTACAAAAGACCGTAAAGGGACATCACTCGTTGATATTTCCGGCTTTCTTAGTTCTTAGTTCGTTATTTCAATGCAAACGACCGGTAAGATACCGCTTTTAAGATTCTTGCGCCTTTGGGCAGCGAAAAAATTTAAATTTAACAATAATAATAAAGAAGTCGGTTCAAATCATGAACAACGTATCAGTTTTGTTCGCCCGTCCTCTCTCACGGTTTAATTTATAAGAGTAATTTCTGTACTTGATATGTGGCGTAACAGCAATGGAAAATTTAATACCATTTTCTCGTAATCTCTTGGTTATCAGAGAGGCAGGAGTCCCATTCTATATGCAAGATCCAAAGTCCTTCATAATTTAGTTGAAAATGTTCTTATATTGCTAATGTGTTTGACTGCTTTCTTGATGAATAGTTTGTTCTTTTTTTTGGTTTGATTTTTCTGTTTTTGTTATGTTGTAAAATTGGAACTCCCAAAAAGGCATAAAAAGGGGCCTGTCCGGGAGTCGAACCCGGGACCTCTCGCACCCTAAGCGAGAATCATGCCACTAGACCAACAGGCCATTCTTGATAAAATGACTACTTTTTAAGTTATCACTACCAGTGTCAACATTAAATATCAATTTGTTCCTTTAAGTACCTGTACGGTGTCCCTGAAAAATGCGTCTAAAACTAACTCATGATTTTTACAGTTTTATTTTCCAAACGGCTAAGTCTATTTTCTTCGCTAACATCTTGCACTATTTGCTGACAACACTTTGATAAAGTTGGATTTGAGTTTTCTTCGTTTTCTTTAGTTTAAGGCAGCACAGATTTATCCTGGCTCTCGTTCATAGTTAAGTGTAAGAAAAATCTAGGTTTAGCTAATTACAGGGGTATAGAATGGTAAATTCGAGGTAAAAACTCCGAGACGAAAAATCACCCGAAAACGAGAGTTCGAGAGGTATCACACGCGCTTCCAAGATTTCGAGATCAGGCCAAACTTATCAGAGACCCAAGTTTTTCGAGGAAAATTTCTATACCCCTAATTATTCAAGCTGGTTTTCCGGGCAGGGGTATTAGCTCAAATGGTAGAGCGCCCGCTTTGCATGTGGGAGGTACTGGGATCGACACCAAGATTCTCCATTTTGTTTTCAGGCTTTTTAAACTGAATGTGTTGGCAGCAATGTGTATAAGAAAGAAAAAATTCTACAAAAATTTCTAAATGAATGATAAATAATTAAGATAGAATGCAATGAGCTCGAAAAATTCTTTTAATTAGACAAAAAATCTGCTTTTGTAAAATTGCGAATTCCACCGATCTATCATTTCTTGCACTTTCGCCACTATGGCAGCGGACTTATTTGCTATTAATTACCAACCCATTTTTTTGTCAAAAAGTAAACCGAAGCAAAGGACCCTACATCATAGAAACCGTGAGAAAAATCTTAGCCTTCATGACTTCCTGTTTATTCCTTTTAAAGTCAGGGCTATTCGTGAAATACGACGTTTCAACTGCTGCTAACACGGTTCTATTCAAACATGCCTAAAATAAGGTAGCGTTTACGTACAAAAAGAAATAATTGTCAATTTGGAGAAGCCGTGATGCTTTTAGCCAAAATAAAAATCTCCATCTCCAGGACTAACCACCCTTCAGTTCTTAACTATGGGCTCGAAATAACTTCCTGGAAGTGACAGAAATCAGTGAAATGCCAGACAGAAATTATGCACTAGGGAAGGCAACAGGCCGGCCCGTAGGGTCAGCCTGCCGTCGTTTAACCAGCTAATTTTTTTTAGGGGGGCTTCCGTCAAGCTAAGTGTCATGTTGTTGCACAGATATAGGGCTATAAATTAATCTGGTATGCATTTGGGGTAGCCTGGTTAAATTCCAGGGAACTGGAGTGGTTCTAAAGACTGTGCTTTGTGCTAGAGTGTGGATTATTGCTGAATTTTTGTACCGAGGCTGATCCCTGTCTTTCAAAGCTCAGTGTCCCCCTCAAATTGAGGAAGGTTTGTGTCTATCTGGGTGTCATGTTTTTGCAAAGACACAGGGCTATCATCTGGTATGCATTTGGGGTAGCCTGGTTAATTTCCAGGTAGTTGGGGTTGTTGTAAAGTTTGATGTGTCTGCACTGTTATACAGTTTGTTTGTGCTGTTTGCAAGCAAGCAATGACCCTTTCTGCTGATAATGTTCCAAGTCAGGAAGCAGTTAAATTAGTGGTTGAAGGACCTGGTTTTGTTGCCGAGCAGTGTTGGCTTGGATTGTTTTTGGGAGACCAGTTGCGATAAAAAGTGGGGTGAACTGGGGAAATGTCTTTGCAATCGGTGACACTAAAACACTAGAAATTGTTCCTTGAAGTGCCTTATTTTCCAGACTAAGATGAATGCTTCACTTTTGTTACCTTCAAGACAGACGTTACTATCAAATGGAAGCTCATGTGTTCAAGAATCTCTTTTTGAGGTGAGATTTTACATTTCCGCTAAGAAGGGGCATTAAATTACTAATCAGTGCGAGAGACTGACATGTTTTAGTAGCCCGGTTTTCAAAAAAAAAAAAAAAAAAAACAGACATATCTGATTTAATAATAATGAAGCATTCAAATTGCTACATAAAGGATACAAGGAAAAAAAAATTAGTAGTATTCATTTTTTTAACCATCATTGTGTTCTATGTCCTGAGAACGCGTTTTCTGTGGAAAGATTGAATTAAACATATGGTTTGGTATTTTACTGTAACGGATAACAATGTAGTTGATTTTCGATAGTTCAGCGGGATAGTTCAGTTGATTTTCCCTTCGATTTTATTAGTTCTGCTTTGAGACTGATAAGCGTAAGATTTTTTCTGGTTTTCGTGTTAAGTCTGCTGTAATTAAGAAACATTTATCATTAGCTGATTTTTCGCCAAGATTTTCTAATACAGGGGGTTTAGCTCAAATGGTAGAGCGCTCGGTTTGCACATTAATCGACCTTAGTAAAGCTTTTGATCGCCTTCCTCACAATCTACTACTTGAAAAACTTTCAGCGTGTGGCGTCAGCCTAGAGAGCCTAGAGTTACTAACAAATTATGTGAAGAACAGAACACAATGTGTCAGGCTTGGCAACACTCGCTCGACCACCGGGAAGCTTATGTCAGGTGTCCCACAAGGATCTGTACTTGGCCCGCATTTATTCAATATTTTCATAAATGATCTGTTCTACAACATTAAGAAGGCTAAAATATCGGCTTATGCAGATGATAAAAAACTTTATTTCAGCAACGCAAACGCAAGAATTGTACAGAAAACCCTAAATTCTGAATTAGCTGTGGTTTCGAGTTGGATCACGGACAATGGCCTTCTGCTAAATCCTAAGAAATGTGAATCGTTAATTTTCAGAAGAAAAAATCCCAAACACAACCAAACAGAGGAAGAGAAAATCAATTTCTCGGTCGATGGAACATTGATAGAGCCCTCCACCACCTGCAAATTACTGGGGGTGCACATAGACGAACGGCTGAATTTCAACAACCATGTAGCTTCAATATGC